GACAGAAAAAAGTAATCTTAAATGACATACGATAGGCATGCCATATCTGCACAGCACTGTCGCCAGCGCGTAATGTCAGCAGGCGCCTAAAGAGAATGGGGTTGCTGGAGCAAGGGGACAGAGGCAACAGATCTAGTCACTGCCAGGAACCCCCAAGAGTAGTATGCATCCTCCTGTCTTACTACAAAGATCCACTCCTATTGTTTCCCCCGGAATCCATGTTAAATGAGGGTTGTTGATAAATAGCGGTAACAATAAAGTTACCGCCGGCGACCCCTGTCCAACCGCCTAGCTTCATTTGCACCGTATTGACATGATGCCTTCACTATGGCAGTCAAAAGGAGGACATTTAAATTGGTCTGCAGTCCAACCAGAGTTTTTGGCGCGGATATCACATTCCGGTCGGCATTTTATAAGCTGCCGACAGGGCGTAGTTTGGACTGCCAAATACACGGGTCGGAGTGGCTTAAACAGTGACTCGACTAACTGGGTGTGGTTCAGCAAAACAGAGTGGACTAGCCTCTTGTGCGTCTGGCTACTGCGCAACCAGGCGGCAGATAGAGGAAGAGAGAGTCCGAAGTAGAGAACAGGGTTGCTATTGCGAGAAAAACAATTAACAGACAGCCGCCGTCTTCTGAAACGGGTGTTTACAGTTTACCTTATGGGGCCACACTGGTCTTCTTCCGGCTCGCAGAATATTGTCTAACTGTGTTATCTGTAGCGGACATCGTTTTTGGCAAAGTTTCCTATTCGTGTTTTATGCTTGTAGAATGAGATGCCTTGCCGAAGTAAAGGAAAGCGAAGTAGACGTGGAAGCGCATCTACTCAGAGCACTTTGTCTGCCTCTTAGTCGGTCAGCGCCCTCGAATGCTTGGGTAGAGGTACGTGTATACTTGATTGAACCCATCAGCAGAGACAATAGCAGATACGGGTAGTTAAAACACAAGAGGCTGCGGCATTTATAGGATGCAGTCGCCATGCTATAGCATACCTATGGAAATTTACGGCTCCCCCCTTTAGTAGGGATTGTTGCACTTGTTGTGGTGACTGTCCGATGGCCGAGATTCGAGTGGTTAATCGCCACAATTTCTCTATGGGTGTTAGATGTTGGTGTGATGATTACTCAACTATCTGGTCCACCGACCCTGTATCTGTAGACCGCCCCTACATGGCAAGCCGTTTTAAACTGCCGGCATGCAAGTTTTTCACGAAATACCTGGTCCGTCCCAAGAAATGTTGGCCGAAATTTCGAAAGGTGTTCTCGATTAGGAAGGATTACTTAAGTGGGGTTGTAATATTGACTATCTTGCAGCATAATGCCAAAATATTTCAGTCGCGTTAGGATATCGGCGTTTGAATGAGCTCATTTATGACCGGTTACAAAAACCACATTATGTAGAAATGGCTACTTAATTACTGTGGATCTTCTCATAGAATTTCGATGTCTTTATTTACTCAAACATATCTTATAAAGAACATGCACAAAATATTCCATATTTCATGTGCACCTTTGGTAGCAGATTACGTCTTCTTTAAATTTTATATTCGAAGGAAAGGGATTTTCGTGTTTTAAAATCTTTTTCAATTCCGACTAATTTTGAATCCGACCTGCAATTGCATTTGCGCTTAGAGCTCCCAAATTACACGCTTGATATTTTTCATGGGAAGAAAGCATTTCTGTAAGCTATTAGGAAGAGGTCATATAGAACTTAGTGAATTTTTCAGTGGATATGCATCATGTTGCACACTTCATAGGCTACATTAATTGACGGAGGAGAGGCACCGTGTTGTACGAATGGACATTTCACTGTCTTAAAAAGCCCAAAATTAAAAACTCCTTTAACACCGAAAAACTTTCAAAGTGTAAGATTTGAAGAAGACGAAAGTCGTTTTCAGAAGAGTGCAAGAAAGACTATGTCTGTGCGCGTTTTCTATAAAACAGAACTGAACTTACAACAGGGTTGAAATTGCGTGAAAAATGTGCATTCTAGTCGCACAATTGCTTTTGCCTAGTGTGGTTTTTGTAGGTGCCCGGAAAGAAAATCATTCGAAAGCCGGCAGCCTGATGTGACCGAAGTGGCTTAGGATTGTGCGGCACGATAATCGGTACTAAAAACTCACCTCTGTAATCCTTTTTAATCGAACACACTCTTCAAAATTTCGGTTAGCATTTAATTTCAGGACACACATGAGGGTAGTAGAGAGTGGGCAAAGAGTCTGTCCGATGGTTAGCTTTTCAGCGGATGAGAGCATACTGTTCTCATCCCAATGAGAGCACTGGATCTTAAACACGGGACTTTTTACGCCCATACTAACCAACCAGAGGTCGATGCGGGCTACACTCAGAACCGCAAAAGCCCAAAGTGCACCAGTAGAGTTGGCACTTGTGGATATATTAAATCCATCTATGTTCATAGCGTTAAAATAAATAAATCCGCCAATGGATTCGCGTTCGCTTAACCTCGGTGAGCTGTCTTGACGAAATATGACGTAAGCACAGATATTCCGAATAACGTTCTACTTACAAGTATATAAGTAAGTTAAATATTGATCATACCATGCTTCCAGGGTAAGGAGATACCACACTAACAGCACAGGTACTAGCCAAAAGCCCATACACGCGTGTTTCGCCGATATTCTGCCGCTGCATAGCGCAACTGCAAGGGGTTCGGCTTGTCAGTGGGTCCCTCACTGATCCTGACCCCGAGGCCTACATTTATGACGGTGGAACTTAAAAGACACCAGGTGGACAGTTTTGTGTGAACGTTCGTCGCAGCATTTGAAGGCCATTCCATAATCTAGGGTCGAATATCTCTAATTCATTCTCTTTTTAGAACTCAGCGAATTCTGGTCTTATATATAACTCTTGTTTGGTTTGATTTCTATATTCCCAGAAATTTATTTAGAGCAAATTAAAGCTATTCAAGTGTCCCAAGTATTTCAGTGAAAAAGTCCGATATTGTCAAGCATTCATTCAGATTCTTGTCTTATTTTAGCTATAAAATCGGACCAGGAGAGAAACTACTGCTGGCTTCGACAAATTTTATCAAGTAAGTTTAGCAAATCCAAGTACGCCTCGGAGTGCTGCCAGTTTGGAATTGACGCGAAAGAGCATGTGCTCTGAGAATCGTAATTGAGGTTCTACTTGTGTTAGACACGAGTCAACCGTTTTAAAATTATGCCGTATAAATAGGCTTTTCCCTGAATCATGGTGAACAAAAAATCCTTTCATTCTCTTTCACGCGTAGGTCATTTACAGTGAGAAATCCGGCTAGGTTGTTCACATAACTTGACGAAAAAGTTAGTAATTCAGAAGCATGTGAAGTATGAAGGGCCGCCCGCTGGAGAGGGAAGTAATATCGGCCTTAGTCACTTACTCTTCCCAACGTTTAACGACACAGGCTTCAAAAGTTCTAGGGTTACCTTAAGACTGCGCCAAAAATTAGCTGTGATACATTCCCTCTTGCCTAACTCGAGCCAGCTTGAGATTCGGAGCCGCGTAACGACATTTCCAGGGTTCCGGCTGATAACTGCACCGGAGCGTTTTCAAATACAGATGACGGCATTTGCAATGCAAAGCAAAAGTCTTTTCCTAACTTGATTGTTAAATTTTCTGGAATTTCCTGATTTTTTTTCTAAAGATTTGTGGATTGTTGACCTTATCCTAAGAACTAGTAATTGGAAGGCCTGCAAAGGCTGAAAAGTATGACATTTGGGTTCTGGGCCTTTTCGGTGCGGTCTAGAATCGTTGTCTCCTTAAACTTTCCTACAATAATGCCCAGTGAATTATGCCTGGTTTCGGCTCTCATTGGTCGCCTTCGGTGGGATTCATACGTGTGCTACAGTGTCTTTGGAGCCTAAACTTCCAGTTGCCAACTATAGACTGAATTACCAGTTGAAGGTTAATGTAAAGAGTTTAACAGCTACGCGTAATACCACTCAAAACAAAAATCATTGTTTCACTGACGTGGATTCGAAGTCATTGGAATCCAAAACTTGGGAAGATACTTACTTTTATACGTCTGACTCTAGAAGTTAATGAATGTCAGATGCCTCACTGCAAATTATGGTGTAAAAGGGCACTCCGTCGATGTCTTTTAGGCGCCCTAGCGTTACACCTGAAAAATGCTATTTGGTTTTACAAGCCTTTCAGTCTGAATCGAATTGGAAATAGATCCAACGTGCCGGAAACCTTAGTTGAGGGCTAATACTAACCGATGAAACACACATTGCTATTTATGATTATTAACACCCAGATAAGTTGCTTAGACCGGCTGTTGTGCGCTTGAATAACAAAGTTTATAGAAGGCACTGTTTCCAGAGGGAACAAGTGTCCTAATGGTTGCAGAAGTCCACGGAATTTTTGTGCACGGCCGGCAGGAGAAGGAAGTGTTTCCATATTGGTCAGGCTGAAACAGGCACTTCTGCACGTTTATCAAAAAAGTTTTCCTCTTTGACGCTACCTTGAGGCACCGTCTCTCCAGCTTCAAAAACAGTTCTCAGTGTCAGATACTTGGGACAGACGGCGGCCACAAGAAGAATAACCCGAAGTCTGGAGGGCTATTCCTAACATCAAAGGAATCTCCAAGGCGGTTTCAGGACTGTTACAACCCGCCAGGGTAGGCATTGCCAATCAACCCCAGGCAACGAATCTTCGCCGTTCGATGCAACCCAAAGACATAATGACACCCACTGAAACCTCAGCAGTTGCCTATCAAATACATTGTGACGACGGAGACTGCATCTACGTTGGGGAACACCGACGGAAATTGCAGACCCGCCTACATGAGCACAAACTGGCAACTCGGAGACTAGACCCAAACTCACAGCTTGCGGCTCACATCGAGGAAACTGGTCACAGTTTTGACTTTCAAGGAGCAGCCGTCTTAGGCAGGAGCACCTCAAAGACAGAACGTCTCACACTTGAGGCTTGGTACTCTGATGTCAACTCCATCAACAGGCACCTAGACCTTCCTTCGGCCTATAAAGTCTTACGTCATTACATACGCCGTGACGAAGAGAAGACAGTCATACGACGCCTAAAACTACCGAGCAAACGCGGCCTGTCGACCAACTCACCCAAAAGGGGAACGCAAACGCAACTAACCCCAATTGAGGCGGCGACACAATACAGGAGGCCACCAACACTCACAGGCGACGGCCGGTAGGCCAAAGCAGCGAAAGAAGAGAAAAAAAATCCATCACCCCAAGGCCAACTAATCCGGCTGTCCATTCAAAATCCTGATCGGCTTTTTCACTTGACGCTTTGATAATGGAGAGCCGCTTTAGCTCTTCGAAACGTCAGCCCTGCAAGTCCCTCGATCCGGTGAGCAGTTCATTTTCCTCAGATTATCAACCCGGATCTCTTACTTTTGCTAACCTGATACTTGCGACAGTCAGCAGTTACCTCTTACGCGGCACACAGTCCTTATCATCGCGTCTAAGTACCCTCTTTGGACTTCATGTCGTAGCAAATGCGTGTTCAGTTTCCGTCAACTTGTTGTTTGAGTGGAACACATCTGTAACAGGGTGAGGTAGGTGGGCCTGTTCTCCCTTGCATACCAAAAACTAGGACCGGGGATGTATTGCAGGCGATCTGTTGAAGTTTGAAGGCTGAACTTGCAACTAAGACCATTACATACTGGCACCCTTTACAGATCTAGCGTACTTATGGACGTTCAGAGTCAGATGAATGTGGAGAAAGCGGCCTATGCAGACTGCTGGATAGAGGTGATCATTTTTGTTTTGCATGAAACTCTGAGTCGAAAGCCCACAATATCGGTTGCGTAGCAACTAGTCATTCCGCAATGAAGGTGTGTCACAAACGTGGGCGAATAAAACTGATATAGGCGTTTCTGGCCTGTTTCGAATCGTCAGCAAAACCCGGAAATCTCGTCTGAACTCATTAAGGAGTTCCACGTCAGACGTTCCGCTACCTGATTTACAGGTCCACGGGCTGGTGATCGAGAGCGAGCAATACTCCAAGTCGAATGGGAGTTGCCTTCGGTTTTGCCCTACACTCATGCCTACGTCACGCCCAGTTGGTTGCATAACCACGGACATTAATTAATCAAGACGACTAGACAGAGGATGAAGGTACAACACGAAACGCCCACATTCCGCCCTGCAGTCTGGTTGGATTTGTAATCTTAGCTGTTGCAGATTACAGCTGACAGAGTTTGACGACGCAGCTCAACTGGTAGAATGTGAAGTGAAGCGACCATCTTTGAAAGGAACTCAAATCTCAGTTGACTCTGCAGAGCTTGATTATTATTCGCTGATGACGACAAAGATGCGAAGACTTGAATCTCCACGGGACCCACCAATAAAAGTAATTATCACAAATTGAAGAAACTCACGTCATTTTTGAAAGTAGGCATGGCAATGCACCTTAGCGCCTTGGCTCATGTGAAGTAATTTTAACAGACACGTGTTTGAAGTATAGTTTTGGTATTTTAGATTTGCCCAATCGGAAACACTGGATGCACTTTCTGTGCCACCTTTGTGACGTCGAGCAGGAAGCTGCTCTACATTACTACCAGGTACGTCGAAAAACTGGTAATAAATGGCGGAAAGTTAGTGCATTGTTAGAGAATATAATTTCCAACCAATAGCGTTCGCGTTGATCGCGGCACCCTACTTGATTATTCATGAGAAGAAAATTGTAGACATCTAAACAAACTTCCGGGGGGATCCAATTTCTACTAAAGCCGGCAAAGTCACACTTTCGATGTAAATCGGTGGCATTTTGTAAGGATGAAATTGAACCAAACGTGCATTCTTTATAGAACGCGAATACTGTGCGGTCCCCGGACGACTCCACGGTGGAGTTAAACCCATTCCGGTTAGACTTACATGTTCTGCCGAAGGATGCCGGAGCAACAGGCAATCAGAAGGTCATGCAATGTGCAATTTCGCGGCCATAGAGCTTTGCAGACCATTTCAATAGATAGTTACGGATATTGAAAACCCATCAGTGGATCTTTCCCGTGCGGGCTGGTTCACACAAAGAGCCGTCAGTCAGCATAGGAAAATCCAAATGGAGGGGGCCTGTTCACGTTTGCTGAGTCGTCTGGCCACCAGAGATTTCGGTTGGACAGAAGTTTTATAAGACATTTAATATCGCCTGAGTTAAACCGGTTCCCCAGCGCAAAACTGAAGCTTAAGGTTCTGCGTAATGGACGACGAACTAGCTGATCTCACAAAGTGCACATGCAACCGTGCACATTAACCTCAGTCATATTAATTTTAATTCAGCTGGGAAAAACTCCACGACCTTGGTGGGATTCGGACCCACGACAGCAATGGGAAGGCTTGAATATAACCAGCACTCTTGCTACCTGAGCCACGAGGTCCCACCGTGAGCCGTGAATTTAGTCGCATTTGAGTCAAGTTATTCACCTGGTAACGAGAGCGTTGGTTGTACTCAAGCCCTCCCCTTTCATGAGTTCGAGTCCCACCAAGATTGCCTAGTTTTTCACAGTTGTGTCAAAATGGATTATTCAAAATCTGTAAAAACACCTATTAATTTGGTCATATGGCATCTGGACGGGTTACAAGTCACCGCACTCTGTAGAAATTAGAACAGTAAATTTCGGGACAAACTTTTTGAAATAAACTTCTTTTTTTCGAATGCCAGAGTCCACTGGTGGTATCTGGGTCCGATCGCGCAGTGTACCGGTTGATAGGCAAAGTTGCAGTAAAAAGGATGATACAGCAAATCGAACTCAAGAATTTACTTATTCGGAATCGATGAAAGTACTATCATCTAACTGTCTTAGATTACGACCAGCTGTCTCGAAGGTGTAACTTTCTCCAGGCAGAGCATCGAGTTTTTAGAAACGCTCAAACAAAATGGATGTTGAATAGGTAATACATTCTTCTGCGTGCAAACTAACGTTCGCGTTCACCGACCGCTTAAATTCAACTGTTTATGGTCAGTCAGGATGGATTCGTCTGCTAAAGTTTTGCGTGTAAGATCGATGTTCCCTAGCCTGCGATCACATAGGACTTCCGGCTGAGCAATTTTCCGCCTTGGCGCGACAAATGGCTAGTAGCACCGTTGTTTCGTTGATACCCATCTTATTGGGGCAACTAATTTTAATATGTAAAGTGTTGAACGTAAGTCACTATTACGGTAGTCGCGCAGAACTGAGATTACCAGAGGAGGGGAGGACGTGCCCGAAACAAATTTCCGTAACTCAAGCCAATTATTAGGAGGGGAAGAGTTCCGCCCTACTTAACGAGAGTTCCACCCCCCCCCCCTCTATTGTACTTGAAGAGCTAGCTCCGCCGGCTTCTGCATCTTATCCAGAATCATCCGGTTGTCACCGTTCTGCTGACGCGAGGCCTGCGGTCCACTGTCGGGCTGTTTTTGCGCTACCGTCACGTTGAAGCAGCACTGGTGGTCATGCTGATGACTAGCAAAATACTATTTTCCAGAATTTCTCTGGCTTCAGTGACTTTTCCACTGGGGTTGGATTTGTTCTCTCTGGGCGTGAGTGTGAGGCGGAATTACATCCTTCTGCCACGGCGTTCTTTATTCTTCTTATTGTTGCTGGGTGGAGTTTTGCTCCTCTCGACGACGTTGACCCCGCGAATGGTCAAACCGACTGCGCAGACCACGGCTCAACGGTCGTCCTAGAATTAGGTCAGTCCACAGCTTACTGGACAGCGGCCACACAGAGCTGCTGCTGCTGTTGACAAGACGGTTGCCTCTGGGTCCTCAAGCTGAAGATGTAGATTTCCATCGGACAGACTGGGAGGGTGTAAGACGACAACGACGGCGACAGATGAGAACTTAGTGGATACTGGATAATGCTCTCACCATCCCCTAGTACCGATTCGCCAATCGCTGCGCCATCGAGCCTGAAGGTAGTACAGATGAATGGTCCCTGGTTGCCCATTCGTCAGATGTGGAATCCTGTTTTTGTGAGAGCAAGACTTCGCTGAGAACTATGTCACTGTCGCCAGTTGCTAGTGTCAGGGGTAGGCCAACAGGCAGGTGCCGTTTTCCAGGATACTGGACTTCCGTTACTCCTTAAACTTATACCATCTATCCATCCCGTCCTTTTAAAGGGCGCAGTTGTACGTCACCACTAGGCGTACAACAGACTAACTGATGAGTCCTTATGGTTGCAGAGATGGGGGTAATGTAGTGCTTAGCACCATCTCGTGAGCCGCGGAAAGAGCTTCTTCCGCCAGAAGTGTCCCTATTGCATTCAGAGACTACCAGACTGGACATACCAGCGGGAACTCTCACTCCCTAGGCCTACTCTGTTTTCAGGCAAGTCTGCACGAAGTTGAGGAGAGTGCACGCAGAATATCCACCATCTACCGTCTCCTGCATCGTCTTCGTTCCGCCAACAGGCCTCCCAAGGATGTTGTCGGGGCAGACAACCAGATGAACCTCCTCTGGCAGTCGAATGTCACCTGCGAGAGACTCTGCTATGAGGTCTGGTTACGCCTACTGGAGCTGACAATGTTTCTCGAGGGTCACCAGATGCCACTGGCGCGGTTGCAGGAACTGCCCTGGAGTTTCCTAAAGGCCAGAGTTGGGGAGGACGCTGGCGGGGCTTCTGCTATGTCCGAGCTACTTCGTTCTGTTCTACAGGGTCCAGAATGCTCCAGTCTCAATGATCGTTTGTCGAAGCGACTTGCTACTGGAGGGGTACGTCATGTAAGTTTCCCTCTATCAGCTGAAAGGATTACTTTATTTTGACACAACCGTGAAAAACCCGGCGACCAGAGTGGGATTCGAAACCACAACAGCAAAGGGGAGGCTTTAGTACGGCCGACGCCCTAACTATCTGAGCTAAGGAACCCGACCGGCAGACGTGAGTTTAATCACATTTGAGTCAATTTACCTGCCCAACCTGCTGCAACGTATGGAGTCCACCAAATCTTATGCAGTAGCCTGACTGCTCACACGAGGTTTCGTAGGTAATCAATTCAGAACCCACCAGATGACTACCAGGCTCACTTGATTAAAAAGTGTTTGATATTACCTCTAACAAGATTATACCAAATTAAAGTCCATAGTATCCAGCAGGAACTGATAATCCACCGGCAAACATGATACTGTAAGCACGCAGACGGTGGTCAGAGTATCAGCAATCGGAACAATTTTATCGGACTCTGGTTTGACAAAGCTTGTCACTTTCCTGACATGCACCTTAGATTCCCAGAGAAAAAACATCCAATAGATATATTTTTAGAACTACCTCAGGCATTAATCGAAGTCAGAACTTAGCACTCTTAGGCGGGCGGGAAAGATTATTTGATTAAAATGACGCACATCTTAGACTGGATCTCCTAATAAAGACTTATATTGGAAGGGGGAGGGAGGTTTGATTGAACCGGAACACAGAGGCTCAGCTCATGAATTGCAGCAGTTATCATCCCTTCCGTTAGGACTTTTATCTCTATGACGCATCAGTCTAAGCAGTCAGTATTTTCAACAGTAAATTCCTGTTCAGCCGTCTCAGTGATCGCCCCTTTTTACTTCGAGGCTAATTTACCTACTACATTCACCTCAGTAGTTGACGTTAAATTAATTGTTTTGGCGGTTAGTTAAACTTACTGCGAAACCCGAAGGGAATTATGTTGTTTTCTATCTGCTGTTGTAGAATGCGCCATTTTCGCTAGTCACTTGTTTTGCTAAATTGTCCGAAGTGCAGTGTCACAACGCATGCACTTACTGAAGCCTCTTATGCCGGTCATGTCCTAAGTTGGCTCCAAGCACATAGGTTACGTTTGTGCATAGGGCAGAAGGCTATACGTCAGCAAACGACTGCCTAGCCTCACGTCGGAGCTCAATCCCCTAGTGGTTTCACCGCGCGATGTCGACCCCCTGTCCAAGCAAGAACACTGATGACTCTATTAAACACATTTCGCGAGAGTCCTCTGCTCCGCCTAAAGCTGTTCAGATCTCAGCTACAAAATCCCGGAGCTGAAAGAGGCCCTGAGCGAAGTCATGGGGACCGTCTAACATCCCCCGTCTCCAAAGCAGCCTAAAACACCGGCCCAGCTTTAATCTGCCACGGCTCCCCCAAGGGTCAAAGCACAGGCTATTCTGGAAGAGTTTTCAGCTTTAGGTGAAAAATGCAGGGTAAATCTGCGCCTGCCAATCTCACCTTTAACAAACTACAAGTTTATTCGATGTTTTTTTTCAGAGGGAGCGGCGACGACAGAGAGTACAATGCGAACACGGAACAAACATGAGCAACCAGGGGGGAAATCCTGCGGAGAACGAGGATGGGCCGTCAGGGCACGAGGGGCGGGCAACTCAAACGAATTCCTTTGAAAGTAAGCCCCTCTCTCGTCAGTTTTAACTGCCACAGCATTAAAAACTGTGGATACCCAAACCCATTCGCAGGCTTTCTTTCCAAGCTGATGCTTACTCGCGATGACACTTGACGAAAGACGATCTGCAAGTAACTTGAGATATTTCCTCCGTCAGGACTTACGAGGGCTAGCAAGGCAAGTCCTCAAGCGACACTCACGGAGAACTAACGCTTTGACGCACGCGCTAAGGAAGATCGGGATACGTATTGTTTATTTAATGTAGTATATTTGCATAAAATTAGGTTAGCTGATTCTGCGTTTATAGCAGAAATTATGCCTCAGCAGCGGCTTTGGCCAGTTTTCGGTAACATAATTTCGTATGAGAAACAGTCTAATCCTGGTAAAGAACCCCGCCGGCTGCTCTTTAGAGTAGTATCTGTCTGGCGTTTCAATTTGCTATAAAAGGGCGGGCCCATTCATCTTTCCCTCGGAAGGTACGTGGGGCATTATAGTTTAGTAATTAAAATCTAAGATTTGATAGGCCATCTTCATCATGCATCATCAAGATCACAAAATCGCACGAAGGTTTGCTTTGCTATCTGCAGTCCATTGATGTTAAACAGGCTTACGTCTGCATGTCCAAAATTACGTAAAGTGAGTTTTCCCGAATGGATGCCGGGAGAACTGGGACTTAAATGTAGGTGCCTTAAGTGCATGATTGTCGAAGTGCTCAAGGAGACTTTTTTTTACTGAAGGTGGATTTGGGAATTAGTTTTAGAATAGTAACTGTGTTGGAACAGCTAGGGAGGCCTCCGTATATTCGGCTGTTAAACGCTGCTAGGCTCTTCACCGCCGCAACCACAGTAGGTGGGATAACTCATGAAATCTCAATCGAAATTCCAAAATGCCTTTTCGTTTCGAAAAGATTAATTAAGCAGGGTTGTAAAACTGGTCAGCCTGTAATATTTCAGTTACCTCAGGATGCCAGCTTTCGAACGAACTTCCACACTCTGCAAAAATGACTACTTAAGTAGCATGAATTCTTCTCATTGATTTTCGATGCCCCAAACGTCTAATTATATTTCATGGGAAACATGCATAAAAATATTCATTCTCCTGCTCATTCGGTAGATAATTACGTCTTCTTCCAATTTTATACTCGAAGAAAGGGTATAGCTCGGTTTCAAAAAACTGTTCCAACTCCCGAATAATTTTGAACCCGCCCTACTGTTACACTTGGATTCAGGGTTTCCATGCTACAAGCCGTATTTTCCGGGAACGGAAAATCACACATTTCTCTACGGCAATTAAGGGGGGGGGGTGTATAGGGTTCCTAAATTTAGCAGTGGATTTGATCCATATTGTTAACTTTACAAACCACATTGGTAAATGCCGAGATATGACGATTTATGAACGTCCACTTCATGGTATTTAAAAGTCCCACAATTAGAAACTTTTTAAAACTCGAATTATGTCCCTCCTTCGAGTATGAAATTAGAAGAAGACGTAATTTTCTACCGAATGAGTAAAAAATAGATATTTTTATGCAACTTTTCCATGAAATATAATTAGACTTTTAGGGGCATCGAAAATCAATTAGCAAAATTCATGCTACAGAGTGTTACATGTGCTACATGTTACAGAGTGTGGTGTTTGCATGCAGCCAGAAGGAAGTTCATTTGAAAGTCGGCCGCCTGAGGTAGCTGAAATAGTATAGAATTATGTTGCAGGCGGACTAGTCTTACGACCCTACGTAATTGATCTTTTCGAAACGAAAGCGCATTTCGGAATTTCGGTTTACATTTCATGAGTTAGCCCACCTACCGTACACGTGAATTTATTTGAAGTGATGCGGACTTGCATTGCACCTCTCTCAATCGGCAGCCTTCGTACCCATGGTCTAAAAGGTTATGTGATAAGGTGGCAGTTCATTCAGTGAAATGAGAAATTCATTTGCCTGGCGTTCTGGATTCCTTCTCGAACCCCTGGTCAGAGGCGGCAATGAAGATGGAGGCGGGTGGGTCGCAGAAATTATAGACTGTCATTACTGTTCAACCACATACCTATCCACATTAGCTGTTCCTGAGACCATCGCAGATGGTGGTGCCTACCGTGATGAGTGCTTGGGTGCCTGTGCTCGAGTAGCCAACTGTCCCAGTTTCGACACGAAAGTTTTGTATTTGGAGAGCAACTGCATTCTACTAATACTGCGCTCCTTGTTACTGTCTGAGATGATGGGTTCAGTCGTAAGTCCCAGACGACAAACGACAAAAATTACCGTTTCGGCAAATGAGCCTCCTTCTAATTTAACTGTTTTCCGGAACCCATCTTTTTGTTTGCGACTGTTTACAACAAGCCGTATCCGAGGTGAATCGATCGCACGCTCTCTTTCTCTCTCTCTCTCTCTCTCTCATATACAAGTGATTTGTCCGAATCAAAGCTGTATCCGGAAGTCTTCTTTAGAGTCGCAACCGTTGCTGTTAGTGAAAAGTGAGCAATAGAGGATGAGGGAGTTTGATTGGCAAAGACAATGGTTTCCAAAACGTAATCGTCCATACTCCGTCCTTTAGCCTGGATAGCGTTACTCAACTGCGATTGAAAATTTCTGATCTCAGTCTATGCGACATGCGCTCGCAGACCGGTGATGAGGTCACTGTTTGATGGGCGACTGACTCAGTGCTGAACCACGGGCATGCCAGTGCATGAATTTAGAGTATCATAAATCTGAGCTCATTAATAAGTCAGAAATGACCCCGGCAGTGTCCCTAATTTTGCCAAATGCTCTTTTCGGCTGTTTATTGCAAACTGTAATCCGAGTCCAGGTTGAAAGGGACCAGCCCGTGTTCCCTCCAGAAGGACACTCCACGCCACTCGCACCTGGTTCATTATGGTGCACTCTGGTGCTACAATCAAGTTTGTTTTTTGAGTTCTGTCGGATGTGCTTGAGGATTCGGACTGCGGTCGTCTTAAACAACATATTAGTCCTTCCAAGGATTTGGGGTCTGCTCTAGAAGCGAAAGAATATTCGTTTGCGGGAGACCAGTATTCACAAAAGCCGGATGTTGGCCTTCGTAGCGTTAATGACCGAAGACCTAACCGTTCAGATCTACCTATTTGACCTCTTCTCATGGCCAGAGTTCTGAGATCGTAAATGCCATTATACTTCCCTTCACACATCGTATCCGATACCCAATCACCACTGAATTCGAATTTTTACAAGGTGAGGCCTTCCCACTCCGATTTTGTCTGGGCTTTTCTAGTCGCTGGAAAGTGGGTTTAATATCAGAATGCCGCAGGTGAGTGGATTTTGGGGAGGAAGACCTCTACCACTCTCTTCACTTTGCTGGAAGACAGACATGCTTATTTTCCATTGCGTTTGCTCTGTATGTTTTAAAACACAGTTAACGTGTCAGACCTCTGGTCCAGAGTGAGGTTGTTTGTAGCGGTCTCGACGGCTCTCATTTTGCATGTTTATTTAAAAAAGACTGGTATTTTGTGCGTCGAGGCTTGCACATGGCTTGTCACTGATACATTGGTGTTTACTTCTTTCGGCTTAAAATGTTTGACTGCAAAGTTGAGAGTTTTCAAGTCTGCTGTATTTGAATTTTATAGTTCTCACTGCGCCTCTGTTTTTTGTCTATGTCCATACCTATGACGTGCCAAAAAGCGACTAACAGCTAACCCATCAAGGGTTTTCTCGAGAATTTTAGAAGATGAGTTTATGGGGTGGGGTAGGTGGTTGTTATAGTGAGGTCAGTCGGGCCACACTCCGTCGCAATCAAATGCGGAGTTTAGCGCGTACCTGAGAGCGTGCCTCTGATGATGGCGACATGGGCGTCTGAGGGAAGCGGACACACGTTCAGTCAGCCGCCTTCAGTAGATCGCTCGGCAGACCGCTGACCAGAGCACTCGGAGCGTCTTGCATTGCGTCTAGCTCTTCCTATAGACGGTGAGGTTACCACACGAAATGGGCTCATTCCTTTTTGTCCCATCGGCTCTCATCGAACGAGACAGAATTTTAAATGAGGAGTCTGCACGCTTTCGCACTACAAGAGATTGATGCAGAAGTTGTCAGTACGAACCCTAAGGCAGGGGGCATTCAAGAAAAGCCCTCTGGCTGAATGTTAACCCCCCGTAAGGACTTTCGTCTACTGTGAGAGCAGGCTGATTCTACTGAAATGTCAGGCTAGGCTGGGTTTGTTTGCTTAGCCCAGCCAGAGACGCCTGCCTGTGTCATGTCTATCCTTATTGTATGCCCCGCCCAGATTCCCTGAAGAATGCGTCTACTTTTAGACAGCTAAACACCTCCTCCTCCGGTGGTAGGCAGAGGCTGACAGGGTTGGGCGTTGACCTTCAAATCGTCACATAATCCCGTCCTCATGGAGGAAACTGAAGTCGGACACAGGTTGTGGTTGTCCTCAGTCACTCAGAAGCGCACTGCTGAGTGACTGAGTGCTTTCACTACGGCGTGGGGAAATTGCTGTGTTAGTACTGCCCTCCCATTGGTTAACGCGCAGTGGAACGCAGCAACTGCCTGGAAAGCAGGTTTAAATTAAGACGCAACAGGACATCAGGTGCCCTTATGGAGAAAATACTGCCCTCAGTGTCAAAAAAACACGAATGAGGTATTCTTAGAGTGGTATAAATAAAGTGAAGTGCTTGTGTGCGACTGTAATAGAAATTCATTTTGACCCAACTGGGAACGACTCGGCGTCCCAGCGGGATTCGAACCCGCGATAGCAAGGGGAAGGTTTTAACGCAGCTAACGTTCTAGTCATCTGAACTACAAAGCCTCACAGTGAGCCGTGAATTTAATAACATTTGGGTCTAGCTACTCGCCCAGACTACTGCAGCGGATGGAATTCACCAATTATGATACAGATAGTTGAATGCCTAGGCATGACTTTCTAAGCGGTCAATCCAGAAGCTAACAGATCAGATGAATTGCTCAAGTATGCCAGAAACATTAATTAATTAAATGAGGCCGGTAGTCATCTGGTGGATCCCGAATTGATTGCTTGGGAAATCCTGCTTGACAGTCAGCTTACTATATCAGAAGTGGTGAAATACATACGCTGCAGTAGGCTGGGCGGGTAACTTGACCCGAGTGAGATTAAACTCGCGTCTTCCGGTGGGGCCTCGTAGCTCAGGTGGCTAGAACGTTGGCTGTGCTTAAGCCTTGTCTTTCCTGTTGTGGGTTCGAATCCCACCGAGGCTGTCGAGTTTCTCACACTTGGGCCAAAAGAGTTATTCAAATCTTCTGAAACAACAATTAGCCAACAAGGTGCCATGGGAGTCATGCTATCGATATAATTGTAGCTTTAAAGTTAAAAACCAAAATCTAGTAAAGAACGGAATTTCCGTTAAGGTGCTTGTCAAATAATTAAACCCTGAGATCCTGAAACTTCGAGACATCCAGCTTGTTCATATAGCTATTGAACAAACGCGACAGAAAATAAAAAAATTGTAAGGAAGTTCCAATGCTTGCCACTTCGGGACGTCATCACGGTAGGAAAACATACTTTCTGGGATACCAATGTGCCGACGGATCACCTGCACAAATCCATCTGGGAAAAATATACGTTTGGCGTCTACAGGTGTGAGGTGTTGAGGAAATGCAATTATGGGTACAGGAAACAACGTATAGCAAACTAATTTCCCATGAATTTAGTTCGTACGCAGAGTGTGCACCTGATGAAAAGGGGTATTAAAGTTGTATGGTGCGCGTAGCTGTTGGCGTAGCCTACTATCCGCGCGTTAACAAATACAGCAGCGGCTCGCAAATCACCGGACCTAGCACATATCTACTGCGACAGGTTAAAACTAGTTTACGACATCTCTAAAGAGCCACAGGGACTCGTATGAATTTGCTGTTTAGTAATGCCAGCAGGAGTTGAAAGCGTCGTTTGCTTTTCAAAATGAACGTGGATTAGCGGGTCTTTTCAAAGCGGATTTCCACCCCTTTTCCGGGCAAAAAAATTGAGAAATCTGCAGTTTCTTACTGACTAAGCACACAAGGTAAGTGTTGCGCGTTTCCTTTCTGGGAGAAGGGATTCACTTTTTACAGAGTAAAAGTAATTTATGATGAATTAAGTTATTTTCTAAGCAACTATTTTTCACAGTTTTCACAAACTGGAAAATTTGTTTAAAACGGAACTCGACGTCTTCTCTAGATCAACAAATCAATAAATGCGTGGTTTTACACAAAAGAGCTATTATAGAATATTTGATTGTGTCATTTGTATTGCATTTCTTCGAATGCTGAGAATAAATTGCAAACTACAAACGTCTTAGGAAATAAATTCGTTTTGGGTGTGATTTGCATAGACAGTTGTAAGCATTTTCAAATAAAACTCGGAATTATCCTGGATCGATGCTCCCTATTAATTGGTATTTCAAAATTACGTAAACAATGTTTTTTCATGGCAGTACACTTAAAGAATTCAGTCGCGTTTTCGGTAGTTTCTGTCCCTATTTTATGGGATAATTTGGTATCCGTTCGAATTTTCGTTGTTTACTCGTTGGATAGAATGTGCATCGTAAGCATTTTTGAAAATTTCCCGTCACAATATCCAAAGAGCTTCACTGAGTGTCCACAATGTGACTATCGTCTGTGGAATAGGACAGAATTCATCTGTTGTCATTCCAACGGGTGTTGTCATATGCCCGCAAGAAAATGTTGACTCATACGATGAACGATGCTTACTCCGTAGAACTAAGTGGCGAAGCAAATATCCGGTAAAGTACAGTGAATGACCGATCTCATGAAATGTCAGCCGGAATTCTGAAAAGAAAGAATTACTTAGATGGGGTTTTAGTATTGATAATCATGCGGAATAATCCCACAGTATTTCGGACTCACCCGGACGTTGGTTTTTGGATGTATTTCTTTTTGACCTCCAGTGGAAAGCAGCATCACTCCTTATCTCTGTTAATAAAATTTATAGATTGTGGGAAATCGGTCTTGGGTAAAGCAGGCCTATAAAATTTCCAGTGAGTGGCCGATCTCGTGAGATATTAGCTGAAATCCTGAAGTACGTCTTCGATTAGGAATGGTTACTTACTTACTAATGCTGATTATCACACGGCATATTCATATAATATTTCGGACTCGCCAGGATGTCGGCTTTTGAATGCACTTTTTCAACCGCCTGTAGAAACTGCATTCGGTAAGAAAGTGACTACTTAACTATTATGCATTTTTCACACTTATGTTCTATGGCCTTACAAATGCAAATGTATATTTTGTAGAAAACATGCGCAAAAATATGCTTTCCATTACTCGTTTGGTAGCAAATCACGTCGTCTTCGCATTTTATGCTCGAGGAACGAGTATCTTTCGGCTTTAAAATGTTTCTAGCGCGAGGTTTCGTTCTGCAGCCCCACTTCATTGATACCATGTAATCATCATCCTAAAACAATTTGAGTAGATGCGAGTACGCTGGCTTTACAAATATCACGTGTTTGCACCTTCCCTGTCATTTTAATCCAGCCAATGACTGTGCCACGTGGGCAGGAGTGCTTATACACCATCCTCGTCTACATCAGGTGTCAGCTCACTCACGCTTTCCTGCGCGTACTTAGAATCCTCCTTGCGCCCTAGCCGTTATGCAGCTTTTAAGGCCATGCAATGTCCAATCATACAGCATTGTACCAGTCCGTTTACTAGTGCTCATCTTAAAGTATACAACACAGTCCGCATCATTGCAAAAATTTATGAACTCTACATGATATTTTCTTAAAGGCAAAGAGGAATATATGACTTTCCTTACGCGGAAAGTATGCACCAAATAGACCGAAATCGCCGAATGCCAACGTACTGGCTGGTCTAGCTCAAAATTATTCGGGAATTGGAAAACTTCTTTAACCCCGAAAGATACTCATTTTTGCCGTAATTGTATCATTTTTTCACCGTTTCCTGGGTGGCTTTTGTGACAATTTTGAATATGCGTTCTCCTTCAGCATACTTCGGGTTAACTTTGCCTCTTCTTAAGAGCAATGTTTTGAACGAACTATTCCGCCAAAGGGCGGACCCACGTTTTATGTCCGGCTGAAGGGTGCAGACTGTTGACAATCATTTACTGTCTCTGCAGGTACTGGAGGCATTCGTTGATATATTTTTAGTGTAGGACACAAATGAACATCCCCACTTTGTGTTGGAACTCCGGTCCAAGAGATCAGGTAGATTAATATTGATAAGTAAGCTAGCCATGGTCGTTTTAGTGCCGTCATCTTTGTCGGTATTGCTTGGCGTCCTTCCCGATTGTCTGTCGAGTCTGATGCATAATTAAACGGTCAGGAATTAGGTCATCCCTTCCTTATGGATCTGAAGGATGATTCTGGTTGGCAGATACGCTCGCAGTAGCCAGGCTTTTAATGCGCCAATGCAGAATTAGCCTAAGCATTCCTAATCTTAGCTGATTTTTTCAAATGACTACGCAAACGCTTGTACCCACAGGACAACCTGTATTAATTGAAGCCTGTCCACGAAACCAGTCACTTTTGTCTATTCTTACGCGGACACATTACCGGTAACAAAAAACCCATTCTATGCCACCTTCGCGAGGGCCTTCATTGTCTGACCTTGTTCGGAATACGCTAAGCCCGCATTGGGGCGTTCTCAATTCATTGATTGGCCCATGGCAAATTTGAATTCCCCAATCGGGGACGAGGGCGTGACCGCCATATGCATGCGCCTTCCTCACGCCGCATTCAGCAACACACCCGCCCTGTCTCTGACCCTGCCTCATAAGACAGACAGAAGGCGTAGAACAGGGTGTGCGCACAACCGTCTTAACCTATCACTCAAGCACGTTTCGTCTCTCCCCCCTCCCCCTGTGGCTCTAGCAGTGCGTACCGGATCGAAAACCGCACCTTCAAAGTGTGCCACGGCGACTGGTCGTTACGTGAACCCCGGTGACCTTCAGCGCGCCGAAGATTTCAGCATCTCAAACAGCACGGTCAGGAGGGCTGCGGCTGAGGCAGACGGTTCGGCGTCAACGAGTACGCATCCTGTGCACATCGGACTTGCCGCTATGACAGCATCCGAGGACGAAAATTCGTCCAACTTGGACTCCTTGGAGAGTACAAACGCCGATGGCGGCCCTGCCTGTCCCTGGCTCCATCCAGTTGACGGTTTCATAGACACAAGCAGAAACAACTTCGAGGATTGTCCGTTTGAATCCGGTGATGAGGGACAGAGGGCTAGTAGACTCTGGACTCACCCAAAACAAATTGCTGCCCAGTCCTCTCCCTTTTTTCTTCCGAAAAAGGGTCTGGGTTTGTCAAATGGGTAAGTGAATGTTACGCTTTTTTATTGGTCGTCTAGTCATTATTGCGACTTTAAAATTGTGATAAAAACAAATGTGCCTATTGTTAATCTTTTATAAAATAATGAAGGAACTTTAAAAAAAAACGTTTAAAGTGCCAGTGGCGCTTTAAATGAGAAAATGTTACTCAAAGTTTCTTAGTCATTTTTGGGCGGAGAAATGTGATCTCCACTGCCTTCACTGAGATTTACATAGTGGTTTTATGTTGACCAGTTTACTCCGCTTTCAATATTTCTTTCCTAATATAATTAATATCCATAAAATATATGTATTATAATCGTTCCACCGTTAATTATCTCAAAAAATCATGTAATGGATCGTCCTTGGTTTTCGGTGCTCATAAATACCTGCAAGTCGAGTGAAAGAAACGGTTTTTTGCAATATCATGCTCGAATTTAAATATGAACAGACAAAACTGCGCGCAAGCGCACGCACACAGTGTGCATCACAATAAACGACAATATTTCTCACCTTACTATACACACACGAAAATCACAAAGTGCATAGCAACTCACGGTGGATCTAGCCTCTTCACAAAGTGACGCATTATATCTTGCAACAATTGTCAATTAATCTAGCTAACATTTCTAGAACTAAAAGTCATTTTACTCAGGTTACAAAAGGTGCATATTTAGCTGCATACTTCGTAAAGTTGTCTAAAGCAGTTGCAAATATAATTACAAATCCAGTCAGTTATAAGCTGAAACCCCCCACGGCGCCATTTTAAAGCAATGTGCTTTATGGCCGCTGGCTAAGCCGTGATGCAAATGAGATGTGTTCCATTTGTTGACAGTTTTAGCTGGAAGGTCACGAGTCTGTGAGGCGTTGTGTTAATTTTGGAGGAGGGATCGGCCAAAGGGGAAAGAAATATACAAGCTGATGCCATTTATATGATCGAAACGTTCCCAAATTTACAAAACTTCACCTGTCATCCTGTCTAACTAAACTGCCTTCCTGTGAGTCAGAGGTTCTGACTACTGTTGATTCTCGGCCCTAGTTTTGAAATTTTGATGTTAAGTCGGCAAATGCCAAAATTACAAAGAAACACCGCTTGTTTACGAAATATCAGTCCGAATGTGAAGTGCCTCGATTTTCTGAAGCACCTTAGATGCAGGAAGGTAGAATCTTCTTCAGCGGTAGTTCACTAATCTGTCCTAGCTTACCGGCCAAGAGTTCATCCGCTCAACGGCCAAACCAATTTTTTATGTCCCTTGCTACTTTGCTTGATGATCAACATGTTGTAACTCTTAAGATACGGTTTCAGTAATACCCGCGAGTACAAAATGTCCTGATTTAAAGGCACACGCGCCAAATATCCCAACTATAGCATTTTGCCTACAGAGATGCGTACTGCCTGTGTGCCAACGTTTGGTAGGAAGGCACATACTGGAAAGGACATCTCTGACCGTGGAGAGCCTGGCTGAACACTTTTGGCACTTATTTACATGTCCGTCTTTAGTTTGCGTCCATGTGGCCACATGTCTACATCGGAACTAGAGTTGATATACTGCAACTTGGCAGCATGGCCAAAATCGCAGCGCAGAATATGAAGATTGGAGGTCATTTCGCTTGCTAATTGAATGCGGGCCGGAGAAAGTTCAGAGTGTGGCCGAATCGCGTCGAATGGGCCGCGATCTGGTAGCTAGTGTCATCCTTCCTCACTGCTGCTGCTGCATGTTCGGCCATTCGCGTTCGGAGTAGTCCTCCACCTTCTCCGACGTAGTCGTTCTGTTCGTAGCTGCACCAGATCCGGTAGACGACTCCGTACCTTTCCTGCCGCGGCAGTGGGTTTTCTGGCCGCCCGATGGTTGCCTCCAGTCTGTGTGTGTGCAACGCCAACTTCAAGTGGTGTGGACAGACGGCTGACTGTTTCTAAAACCTTCTTCACGTACGGCAGTGCTCGACAAAGTTGTCTTTAATCGATACGGCAGGTAGAAGAAGTGACATAAGGGCACCTTGAAGGCCTCGGATTCAGTCAGGACGCATGGAAAGTCTTGTTGAAGATTAGCAGCAGCCGTGGCGGTTGCTATAAGAAATAGAGCTGCAACCTTCCAAGAAAAGTAAGGACAGGAGGCCAAAGTTAATCGACTGAAACGCAAGAGTGAAGTATTGACAGACAGCAATGTAATCGACCAACACCTTCCCATGTGCTCTACCTTCAAGTACACACTGCGAACCACATTCTACAACATCCACACTCGAGTAGCTACGTGAAATCAACCCGCGTAATTCAATCCACCAAATGATTAATCACACACCCTTCTACCCTCCCGCCACCGACATTGTGACTCCGAAGCGGGACGTACTGTGGGTAGGGCAGCCATTCGCACCTACTTCATGTTCGTCTGCTTAGTTCAAAAGAATGACCAACACACAGTCAACAGGCGCTTATTCAGTTGGCTTCGTTAGCTTAGAGTTACACCCACGTATAAGCTTGTGTGAACTTCCAGGCGAAAAATTGCAGTTTTCATTTAAAGTAAACCATCCGAGTGCGCTTTTACCAAAAGAACATTAATCATGCATAAAAAAGTGATTTGCCCACGTGTCAATTTTTTCAAGACACGGAATCTCCGGACACGGTGATCAAAAGTCTCTGTTGGTTTCACATTGCGGTAGAAGTAACCTTTGAGTCAAAGTGCACAAATAACGTTCCCTTGGTCTTTGGGCATGTACACATACCCTACGGGAAACCAGAACCTCGGATGAAGGCCTTGCAGGGATCCGAAAAGTCCCGATATCCTTCAGCGAGCTAATTGCATAAAAGCGTCATTGGGATTCTAATGTAACCGTTTTGGCCTGATGAAGAGTTACTGAAAACACGTGTTCGCCAATTTGACCTTTCAATTGTAACATGGGAATATTCGCTGAACTTAGACAATCCAAAGATCCCTCGGTGTTAAAGGAACTCAATAAATTCCTAAAGTTTGACACCAGACTTGCGGAGGCACATGTGACGAGAAAATTCTTATCAGGATGTATTGACAAGGGTGAATATCCGAAAATCTACTGGAAAACCTTACGAAGGAATCACATTGCCACTACCCCAGCCGCACTTAGACGACATGCAGAAAGTCACCTGGAGACTATTAACGCCGGAATTGAGGAACTCCAACGGAATCTGTGCCAGAGAACGGCGGCCCTGGACCGTCTTGAAAATTGCGAGAGACTGGCGTTCGAAAACTACGTGCAAACTGTCAGAAGTAAAAGAATCGAGGCGAGGTGGACTAAGCTCCTTCGAAGTGTCCAACCAGTGAAGGCTCAAACGGCCCTTCCGAATAATCCGGAACGGTACGTTCATAACTATTCCTCAGTACAGCTTGACAAAACTCTCATAGAGGTACTGTCTCTTGGTCCTAGGTTTTGCAATGCACGGCGGATGCCGAAGCAGCTAGAGTTAGAAGTCCAATTCGAAAGTCTATTCAGTCAGACTGCCGATCTTAAACCTAGCGGGCCTAGAGAAGTAGACTATCTGAAGTCGACTATGGTTAATTTCTGTCAACAGTACTTAAGAAAGGCTCCAAAAAACAAAGGTCCCTTAACAAGGGCCCATCTCGATAGCCTCAGAGAACTTCGTAAAAACGAAAACATTGTGCTAACCAGGCCGGATAAGGGTTCAGGAGTTGTACTGATGGATAGAAAAGAGTACATAGAAAAACTAGAAGCAATCTTGTCGGATCGTACCAAATTCTCGAAATCCGAGAAAGACAGGGACCGCACCGAGGCCGTTGAAGGGCAACTGACGGCGGTCCTCAAAGTTCTCCACAAAGAAGGTCATTTATCTGACAAAGAATATGAGCGACTAAGACCAGTGGGCACGGCCATACCCAGAATGTACGGCCTTCCAAAAATTCACAAACACGGACTACCCCTACGTCCGATCATGGATATGAGGGATTCGCCCTATCACACCATAGCAAAGTGGCTAGTCGAAAAGCTTAAACCGCTGCAAAGTCATTTGTATCCCCTAAGTCTGAAGGACACCTTCGAGTTTGTCGAGGCGATAAAGGATATTAACGTTGACGGACGGAGGATGCTATCTTTAGACGTAGCATCATTGTTTACTAATGTACCCGTAGCCGAAACAATAAACTACCTTTGTGACGTTATCCGCGACGCGAACTACCCGTTAGGCATGCCGTTGGAGACGCTAAAAGAGCTTCTGACACGGTGCACGCAAAACGTCCAGTTTCTCTGCAATGGTCAACTGTACAGGCAAATAGACGGCGTAGCGATGGGCTCACCGCTCGGCCCATTCCTCGCAAATGTCTTCATGGGCAAAGTCGAGATGACAAGTTTACAAGACACCATTAATGACCTCAGCTTCTACGGTCGGTACGTGGACGATATTTTCTGCCTGACGGATGTTACCACCGACACAGACGTCCTGATTCAAAAATTTAACAATTCACACCCCTCGCTAACGTTCTCTGCAGAGTTTGAGGCAAACAATGAAATCGCGTTCCTCGACGTTCTTCTGCACAGACAAGAGGATGGGTCTATCCAACGTAGAGTATTCCGAAAGAAAACCTGGACGGGACAATACATTAACTTTCACAGTTTTGTTCCCCTCAACATCAAACGAAATCTAGTCCAGGGATTGGCAGCTAGAGTGCGACGTATCTGCTCTCCTGAGACTGTGGAGGCAGAACTCCAGCAGCTGCAGGATACACTCCACGAAAACGGATACCCAGAAAGATTTATCCTTCGAAATATAGGGGAGCGCACTGCAAAGCCTACCATGGCAACTGCAGAAAAGAAGGACTTATTTATACGATTGCCTTTTCAAGGAGACACAGCAAGTGAACTGGTAAAAAGACGTCTGAAGACAGCGATCACTAACGCTTTCCCCGCGGCGAACTTACGTGTGTGTTTCACTAACTCTCCCCTCCTACGCTTGGGAGGTAAAGACCGACTCCCGTTGCAGGCCACATCAATGTGTATTTATTCATTCACTTGCTCCTGTGGAGCGGGCTACATCGGCCGTACAACGAGGCGTTTGGAAAAGAGAGTACGTGAACACATACCGGCCTGGCTAGGCAAAGGTGAGAAGAAATCGATCTCGAGTTCTATTCTCGCACATCTTGTCGATACGAATCACCGAGTCGATGCCAAAGAAGCCTTTCAGATTGTCTACCGGACACCAGCAGGCTTCTCCAAAGGCCTACGCCAACGGGTGCTAGCTACAGCTGAGGCAGTGGCTATACGGCTAGCCAATCCAGTGCTATGCTGTCAGAAGACTCTGACACAGGCGCTCTGTCTTCCGTGGCCGACGCCGACCACAACGTCGCTCCAACCTCCTGATGCCAGGGTGGGTGCACAAGGTACACGACGCACTCACAGCCTATGCCCCCCCTCCTCCTCGCCCCCCGAACCCAATTACCACGACACGCCGACCACGCCATAGCACGCCTCGTCATGCGAGTGGCGTGGGAACGATCGATGTTAATTGTCCCGAATCATTTATAAGTCATGTAATTCGCATAACTTAAACTTCATTGTAACCGTTTTGGCCTGATGAAGAGTTACTGAAAACACGTGTTCGCCAATTTGACTTTTCAATTGCAACATGGGAATATTCGCTGAACTTAGACAATCCAAAGATCCCTCGGTGTTAAAGGAACTCAATGGATTCCTAAAGTTTGACACCAGACTTGCGGAGGCACATGTGACGAGAAAATTCTTATCAGGATG